TTCTCAAACAGCATATGAACATATGCAGAACTGAGTAGGAGGAATAAATCGATGTCTTCCTTTGTATCTAATCCTTCCTCCTATTTTCCTTAGTTCAGGGATGATTATCTTCAAAGGCCAAATTTCTTCGTAATATGTAAAAAGCTTTGGCACTTGCCTCAGTCTCAGAGGAATGCTCCAACCCCAAGGGTATTCCCAGCCTGTAAGCATAACCAGGCACCTGGGCATGGCCTTGTAAGCTGATAGTAACAAGAGCAGTGAGTAGAGCACAAGTACTCCAGGAAACCTACTGATGAACAGATTTAAAATCTGCTTTACCTGTCTCTTATATCTGAATACAGTGCAGCAAAGAATAAGTTATATTGTGCCAACAGACACAGCCTAAATAACTTGGTAATTACAAAAAGAAATTGACAAGCATTTCCAAAAGTACTTATTTATAGACAAATCTACATGTATACAAAACATACATATAACACACATACATATAACACAAAACATACATAGAACCATTTACAGATTACTTCGTTCCTTTGGCCAAATAGAATTTGCTGAATCAGATTTTCCAATACTTTTGACTTGCCTGAATCTGTCTTTTTCAGCAAATCACTATTCACCAGGAAGCATATATTTTCCAAAATAAACTCACTCACAGAATTTTGCCGACAAGACTTACAAGCCTTTGCACATTTTTTTTTATTTGTGTGGCAAGACAAAAAGGCTAAGGTGACTATTTTATTTTATTATTCAGAAAGATAACCCTAAATCTATGTCCATTACAAACAACTGAAGAACATCAAAAATCCTAAAAGTGCTCTATGATTGAGAGCAGATATTTACATTATTAATAATAAACTACTGCTAATATGCATACCACGGAAACACTAAACTTCTCTGGTTTGTATTTGGAAAGAAGTTTTACTGCTAGGAATAAAATTACTCCATCAATTTAAAAGAGAGAACAGTTGATCTCAGCCTTAACAAACCAGGCAAGGAAATAGAGATAAATGTAAGTGTAAGAAGATTTTACAAAACTTACCAGAGTGCTGATTATATTCCCATATACTACACCTATGACACCTGTGACAGCTGTGGTCACTTGAAGCTGTGTCTTCAAGACAGAATCTTCTATTTCCAACCTTCAAAATGTCTTTTGTAACTCAGTGGCTCTGTTTCTTGGATAGACTTGCAAAACAGGGTTGAGATATAGGAAGCTGAGGCTTTTCCAGTACCTTGAGAAGGTGATTAATGTAAGGCAGGGCAAAAGAAATACCATCACAAACAAAAATTTAATAATAAAAATACAGAAAAATCACTTATGCAGGGGGTTACAGAAAAGGAGAGGGAAAAAACCCACTCAGCTTCCAAATTTTTTACTGCAAGACCAAATCTTTTATTGCCTCCAGCTGTTAGATTACTCACACATGTTACTGAAACCCAGCCCTATCAGGTATTTAGAACTGCTCCCTTGCTGGGTGGTGACCATCCTGTACATGTAACAATTCTGCATCAATACTCTATAGGCTTCAACTTCAATATCATACAAAATGTATTTGACATTTGCACCTGTACAAATAGCAGTGACTTATTGCTGCCTCTTGTTCAAGTTTGCAGGAGTAGTAACTGCTCCTGGGATGATGGTAGGTCCTGGAGATTGGACTGGAATGCTGCTTCTGAGAGATGCTACAGCCTGGCTATGGCGCCAAGTATTCACACAGAGAAACTGCCATGCAGGATCAGTGTGAGAGTTTGAAAAACTGGCTGATAGGGCTTTTTAAAAGCGTGAATCATAATCTTAGAGGAGCATTCTTCTGGTCTTCCCCAGGGACTGGTATTTCAAGTCCAAGGGTTAATTTATTCAGTGATTACATAAACGTGAATCATAACTGATTAAAATGTGTGGATGACAAAGAATATAGCGTGAATAGTAAGAATATAGCGGCTCTGGAATGTGATTTAGTTGGTAAGTCAAGCACATTTAAATATCTCAGAGCAGCAAATGGTGAATTACACTTAAGAGCAAGAAATGAAAAACACAGATGACAGTCTGGCAAGCAGCATTGCCAGAAGCATTGAGAGATCACTAAAGCTGGGTGATGACTGTATGTTCCAGGGCAATGCTTAGACAGAAAGATAATGGTTAAGTGGGAGTAAGTGATTATATCACAAGGTGGTCTCAGAGAGAACAACATGGACACACAGTTCTGATATCTACAGCTGAAACAAGACTGAGAATTCAGAGACAAGCCACAGCAGTGATTTGAGAAACAGAGGGAATGCCTTACCCTGGAGGATGATACCATCTAGTGAGCTGGTGAAAAAAAATTGAAAAGTGACTTGACTACTGTGTTTACTACCTTCACAGACAGAAAATTATAGCAAGAACTAATGGCTCCTTGTCTCTGGACCTGCCAGTTACAGGATTCAATGAACAAGATGTGCCAGAGGGGTGCAGCTGCCAGAGCAAGAGAGGCAGCCATAACTGGGGCAGAAATTTGGAGGCAATTAACCAGGCACTGTGGTTAACAATAACTAGCAGTAGCCATAATGAAAGTTTCAATAAGGTAATTTTTCAACAAAAATGAACATTAAAAATCTAGAAACATATCACAGTTTAAAAAAATTATCATAAAGCACGCAATATAACACTGTGAGGAAAATAAATGAAATAATGTAATCTTATAATCATAATAACAATCAATATTAAAATTTTCTGGCATACTCTGCTGTAGTGTAAAATAAAGCACCTTATTTTGTATTTCACATCAGCTGCCAAAAGCAGTTGATTATTTTGCAATCCTAATCATTACAGTTTATAATACTTTTCCAGTTTCCATGGGGTTTTTTGACATTAACTCCAAGAAATTAATTCATGGTTTACAAAGAACTTAATTATTGTCATATCCTAAGGCACAGCACAAACTGTTATTTTCCCACAGATGAGCTTTAATTAAACTAAACCAGACTTTCAGGAAAAGATAAAGTAGTGGAAAATGTTCCTCCCCCACCGATTCCCCTGTCCTACCTTATTTAAATCTATCTCCTTGTTGAAGATAATAAAGGACAACTGATTGTGTAAGGTTTTGTTATGCATTGTGAAGACCCAAAACTGTTAATCCATATGTTTATCATTTTTTACTATTGCACAAAAACCTCTTTATTTTCAGATCTGCACATACTCTATAGACTCTCTCACAAAATATGGGGGGGGGGGGAATCAGTGAAGTCTCATTTAATAAGGGCCTAAAATCTAAAAAATGTAATTTCCTCACACAATTCTTCATTTGCATAAAAGACACAAAGTAATGAGGTCGCTCATTTACTCACAAGCATCACATTGAGCAATAAATACAGGCTCCTACATTTGAAAAAGCAGTGGGGTGGTGGTAAAATGCTCGTCCATCTGAGTCCTGAAGAAAACAAGCCTGTGGTTTTCAAATGCAAGTTCCTGTGTTGAGAGGTCCAGCAGGCACATTTTTGTTCCACAAAAAATAAATTTATAAAGCACAGCTTGCATAATTCTCTAGGGATTTGTTAAAGAAAGAAGATCAGAAGCAATGATGTGATCACACTGTACACTAAGGATGTACATAAAATAACCCAAAAAACTAAAATAGCAGTGAGTGTCAGAAAAACACAGATTCAACTAATTTTAAAAGATCCAAAAAAGCCCCATGCACGCTTCCCTAGATGCACGTTTAAACTGCATTCTTTATTTTTAAACCTCCTGAAGAATGGAATGTACATTACAACTTTGTAAGTCAATCCCATCATGTTTTTAGCACTTTGCTTCAGCTTTCCAATAGCTGAGGAGACACCAAGCTTTTACAAATACCTTTACTGGAATATTTAATCAAGTGGCTCCCAGCTGTGCATAATTTGCGGCAGTGTGAGCGGAGGCATAAGCCAGCAGGCTGAGAACAAATGAGTAGAATGATGTTCACAGGGAAAAGCTCTGAAAGCTCCTTCTGTTTTTAGGCTAATGCTTCAGTCAAATAAAGCAAAGCATAGCTGCAGCTGCAGGATGGGAGTGGAAGTTGACAAAGCAGAGGATAATGGCCATCTTTGAAATCTGATTAAAGAGGCTGCTTCCACCATGGAGAGTTCAGGCAGGCAGTGCAGATGGATTCAGCAAGGCCTAAGTACCAGTCCCTGCTCAAAATTGAACAGTGCAGGGATTTCAATTCTGTTCACCTCCTATAGTCAAATATATTTGTTTTACTTCTTTTTAGAGGGAAGAGAAAGAATACTGAATTTCAACAAGGATACACATAAAGAAGTAAAAGCTCCGAAAAAATACATACAGAAAAGGAATCTGAACTACTTCCACATCCCAAGTAATATTTGAGTCATTCTGCATGTCATTAACACCCCACTTTTTGCTAGAAGCCTGATCTCATCTGCACTTCCACTGGATTGTCTGTTTTGAGAGTTATACCAGATTGCATGTGAAGCAGCACTAAAATTCAGGTGTGTTCTTGAGTAAGCAAAACACTGAAAAGTCGTGTAAGGAACATGTTGAGTAGATGAAGTGGTATTAGAAGTCTGAAGAGCAGCTGACATGACAGTACAAATTACAAGATCTTTTAAGGGTTTAAGCCCTTCTGAAATACTTCACTGTTATTTCCTGTGCAACAGATAAACACTTAGAGTAGATTCCAAAATCCTAGACTACTGCCTGTGTGATTAGTGCAACTCAAGCAGCAGATTTTGAGATTCTAGCTTGTGATCAAGCTGCAGCCTGAGAATTCACTCATCCCAAAAGATGCTACTACATTGATCAGATATGTATCCAAGCCTTTCAAAACAAAAGCCAGCAGAATTTACATGTTCTGTTTCCATTTCTCACTGCTGCTTCTGTAAGTAGTTTAACAGATGGCATTGCTGCAAACCATCCTAACAAATAATGCTTCTTCATTAAAGAGATGAAGAGTAAGACTCTGTATCCTACGTGCTTTTATCTCAACTTGTGTTTAAAAGCATATGAAAAGTATAATACATGCATCAAACCAAACCACGTTTATTTCATCAGTCACAAGTGCAAATATAGCAACAAGTCAGATCAGCAAATTACAACATAGAAGAATGTAATGTAAATGCTAAGTACACTGACAGACCAACCTCAAGAGAGCAGCAAAAACCAGTGTCTTCAAATAAAAATTTCTACTCTTCTTACTCTTTTGTAATCTAAATTAACATAATAAATCTAGATCAGGAATGTCTCTGACAATTCATGTTTAGCCAGGTATTCTGTTATTAGCAGTTCACATTATCCAGTGTGCAAAAGACCTGTCCAAGCTTCCTAGTAACAGACATTTTGGTTTCAAGCAATTTTTACCCAATATTTAAATAATTCAGTGCTGATGCTAGTTAATAACTTCTGCTATTTGATATTATAAATTCAAGAATATATATTTAAAAAAACTAAGACCAACTTCAGTGTACGTACATAATTCTACCCAGATCCAAAAATGGGCAACATTATAGATAAAACTGATTTTTTTCTTGTCAAAAAAAAAAAAGATAGACACAAGTTGTCTCTGGTTTTTTCCATCATCTTTAAATCTGTAGTTAAAATATATGCAGTACTTATGTACAAAATAGAAAACATTCCCATTAGAAAGATACTGCAGTTCAATTAGCTGTTTTCCCCTACCTCTTAGTAGCCAGGGAACAAGATTTATGCTAAACACCCAATCACTATTTTGCTTTACAGAAAAGCAAAAGATGACTTTTACACTGGAAATTTAGTTAGCCTTCTTCTTTGTTAAGCATTGTTTCTTCTTCTCCTTTTCTTGATAGGCAATGAACTGAGAGTCTGTGCCAAAGAGTCTGTCCCACCACGTGAAGGTCGAGGCGTAGTTGCCGATGAAGTTCATGTGGTGGAAATCATGGAACCGGGCCCCGGCGTAGAAAGGCACCAGATGGAGAGGATTCAGCGGCACGTCGTAGCCACTGCAGGGCAGGGAAAAAGGAAAAGCAACAAGGGTAAGGATTTTTCTGAGACATAAACTACAAAATACAGACATTAACTTGTCGTTTTTATGAAAGAAATGTATTTTATAGTATTCTTAGGTCCTAAGGTAATCACTGTGATACTGGCTTAACATGAAAACGAGTTCCCTCCACTCCCAGCCAAATGACTGTTAATTATCCCACAATGGCTTTGGCACTTGCTTTTCAGCTCAGTTTACTAAGCAATACAAAAAAAATTGAGCAGGTAACTTTAAAAAATCACAGTGGCTGCTCTCCTGCTGGCTTAGCAGTTTTCACTTAGAGTGACTTTAGGAAGGAGGAACAACGAGTAACATTAAGTGCAAGCTGTGGCCATCAGCACAGCAGCTCATCTGAGAGCATCCCAAATCAACAATCATTGTATGCCTACTCTTATTTTCACCTTACTGCAAGTTCTTCAAATATTTAAAATCCAAATATATGATTACAGTAAAATTAAAAGCAGAACAATGTGCTCTAGAGGGATTCCAACTCCTTTGCTTGGTAGGGCTGGAAAGCCTCTTACCACCACCTAGTGGGGAGAGTGCAAGGCAATTCATTATAAACTCCTCATGTGGAGAACAAGCTAAAATGATAATTATAATAGGAAATTCATATTTTTTCTCAATTAGTTTATGTTATATCACAACATATACTTCGGGAACTCTACAAGCAAAACATGACTAAACCTGGAATGCTTTATACCATGAATTTACTGGCAGCTTATGTTCCATTGAAACACCTGATACTCAGCTTGCAATAAGACACTATGTGCTTCATAATATATTTACAAATACAAGGTCAAGTGTTAATACTTATCATTTCAAAAATAAACTATTAGTGTCCTCTGCCTCTTGAACACAGGAAAGAAAATCTCATTAATGTGTAGATGAACTAAACTAGGCCTACTGGGATTTGCCCTAAGATTTTGGAGCCAAATTTGTCAGTTCTACTACAGTGACAAGACGACTTGTTCTTTTTATTTACAATAAATAAACAAACAAATAAACAAAAGAAATGCATGCATTTGTTTTAAACAGAGTCACTGGTTACAGAGCATGAAGTTTCTCTTGAGCAAGAAAACAGTCTGACAAAATATTAAACAGAAAGAACTCTTGGCTGGAATATCACCTCTGGTAATTGATTTTTGCTATTCCAATATGTATAAGATCACTTGCACACCAAATAGCTGTAGCCAGACATCATAATCAGGTGCCTAGCTTCTCCAACCCTCTGAGATGCTCTAGCTGATAGTCTACACTCCTCTAATCAGCAAGATCTGCTGCTAACACTGCCTCAGAAGAGAAATGAGTGGTAACCCCCCAGGTAGGCTCATTCTTTGTACGACACAGAAACATATTTTAGTGCAAAATAAAACATACATCTCAGTGACAGAGACAGGTGAGTTTGATGTAGGGACAAGAGGAAAAACAATTAAGAAGCAATGAGCATCTCACCTGTGTACATCAATGGTTTCCATCAAGCGACAGATCACCCACGCCCACAGAAGAACCACATGGTTACAGAAAACAACAATTCCAATAAAAAAGCCAGCTCCAAGGATGAGTGTTTCCAAAGGATGTGCATATTCTGCTTGCATTCCAAATGGAGACTAGAAAGAGATAACAGACAGGGAACAGTCACCATTTTCAGTTTTATGTACTCCCAAATCAGAAGCACCATTTTGCAAGGCTCTCCCTAACCCATTACCCCACAAGACTACAGCAGGACAAATGGAACAATGCTGTGGACCAAGGGAATGGCATGACTGAGCAAGGGCCATAACACACATATTTAGCTCCTCTTTGGAAAAACAGTATCCCAAGGTCATAAGGATTATCACTCTATTAATGATTCCAAACACTACACTACTAGTTGAAAAACTGAAAACTTTTGTTTAGGCTTACCATCACCCCAGGTCAAAGCATTATTTCAGGAGTATTAAAAATGTTTGGCAAACTCCTATCACCTTTGCTATACATCCAGGCTTGGAAGCAGAAGAAAGAAGAAAGCCAAAATATTCTCAGAAGTAGGCCTCACTCAGAAATTTATTATCAAAATAAAAATGAAAAATTCCTCATCTTTGACCACTTTTTAAAATAAATTTGTACCCCTCAAAAGTGATTTTGAGACTGATATAAAACATATATATATACACACATACACCAGTCATTCCTACATTTGGTTTAGCAAAAAAAGACATTCTAAAGAGTTTTCAATCACAGAACACCATACACAGAGAACAGTTTAAAAAATTTTAACCTAAGGCAGAAAGTTATAAATAAGATCATCAGAAAAAAAAAAAAAAGTCCATTTTATCTTAAGGGATACTTTAAAAAAATCTCTTTTTACTGTCAGGAAAAGTTTTTAGTGGAACAGCCATTAGGCTACAGATCACTTCTGTGAGAGCTGCTAACCACTCTCAAGAACAATGGCCAAAAGCTGCTCCAGCTAGAGACCTGAGGGGCTGCCAAGTGCAAGAGGAAGAGAGCAGCTGCTGCTGCAGATGTCTGTACATGTGCATGCATCAATCCATACCAGGCTCCTCTATTGCTGGCAGCATGCATAAAGCACCCATGACCCAGCAGCTTGCAGTTTCCTTTTGGCACAGCCTAGGTTATACACAGCAGCACAGAAACACACAGCTCTGACTCCTGGGCTCCACAGGCAGTGCCTCCCAAACACAGCAGCACCATTTACAGAGTGCAAGCACTGCTGCATCCCACCTGGCTCCAGCCAAGTGTGGTTCATTGCCTGGCACTCAATGCCAGCTCCAACACCACTAAATACAGAACCACCCAAAATTCATGCCCTTGATACATCTGTGTATTTGAATTGCACAATGGGCTATGCTAATTCCAGAGGCCCTCGTCCAGAGCTGTAATCCTTTCCTTGAACCAAGTACACGATGCACACACTGGGGTTGTGCAAGAGCTGCCTGTCTGATCACATTCTGGGCATTCATATGCTCTGGGCAACAGCCCGTGTGGTGGGGAACTGATGAACAACCACATCCAGACAACTACTGTTTCCCTTCCCCTAGCAATGAGATCTATATGTGCATTCTTAAAAGTCCATTTCACCTTCAAACTTTAGCAAGAGTGTGATCTTTTATTTCTCTGAAATGAAATCAAATTACAGGAGGTGTTTTCAGAAACAAAATGGATGACTGCTCTTGACAAAGTGCCCGTGAAAAGGCACCTAACCACACTGTCAAAGGAATGCAAAATTCTCAGGTCTTTCAAATAAGATGCTTAAGTAACTTCTATGAAACATATACTAACAGCTGTTTTTAAAGAAAAAAATCAAGTAATACGTACAACAAACTCATGGTGAACCTTATGGATATACTTGTATATTCTCTTGTGATGCAGCAATCTATGCAGAAAATAGTGCCAGGCATCCTCAATCACTGCACATCCAAAACACTGGCCAACCAGAACATACCTTTAAAAAGCAGAAGATCTATTAGTTATAGAAAATACTAGCAGACATCTGTTTCTGAAAGAGAATATGGTTTATATGCTAATAATGGTCAGGAATGTTTATACCTATTACTGACTGTATAGCAGTGCACTACTTTTTTAACATAAAAAATACTAAATACTTGGTAAAAAGGCTGTGGTGCTTCTCAGCTCATCCGTTGATATGAAGTGAGTTAGCACACGGTAACTCACTTTGGCAAGTGTTAACTCACAGTTAGTGTAACAAGCTGTCATTTCAATATTACAAATGCATTCTACAGAGAACAATCACAGAGTGTGCGAGGCCTTGACAAAGAACTTGGAGCTGCATCAGCCATCTACACCAGAGAGCAAACAGCTCTCCAAGAAAGATGACCTCCTGTGATGAAAAACTACTGTTGCTGGGGTGGGGGAGAAGGGGGCACTTATAGCTAATCCAGTTCTGTTCAGAAGTCCATCAGCTCAGTGCAAGAAATGAACACTGTGAAGGTGGTACATTCTCCTTTGAGGAACACTCTTCTGCTATGATACAAAACAGGGTGGAAGGCAGAGATACTTAGGAGGAATAAAAAAAATTTTAGATAAGTAAAACCCCCAGACAGTCTAACATTTAACCCACCCTGCCAGGAATCTTGCTTTGCTTCCATAAACTCACTCCTAATCCCCCTTCTCTCCCAAAGATTAGAACAGCTTGGGGCCATTTAAAAAAAAAAATTAGAAAATTCTAATTAGTTCTTACAGCAGCTAAGCAGCAAATGAAGGATGATTAACAAGCACAATTTACATTGCCAAAAAATTATTTCCTATTAGAGTTGACAACACTAATTGTTAAATATTCTGCCTCCAGCTGTAGGCAACTCAGCATCACCATACCAGAAAAATCTACATACCATCTCGGCATCTCTTCCCACCCATACGGGATGTTAAAATACTCTGTGAAGTAATAGGTACCACAAATCAGGGGCAGCTGAATGAAGAAGTGATTGAAGAGGAGGGTTTTGAAACACTTCCATTGTTTTTCCCATGTTTCTGGTTTATCCTAAAATGAAGCAAAAAGAATTAATTGTGTTACGTGTTCCTGTTGTACACAAGTGAAGTGCTCCGAAAATTCATTTGGAGTCAGTTTAATTTCACCTTGGAAGACAGATGCCTTCCAGTAATACAGATTAACTCAGACAACACAAATAACATGGGATTGCATTCAGTTTTATCAAAATCTCATTTTTCTAGGCTAGTGTTTTAAGATAAACTGTCTTGTCAGACACCTCCAAACTATTTTTGTTTTTTCAGTGTTTATAGCTAGCAGGAACATTTCATACTCAACAGTTTAATACAATCCAAGTTTTCTTTCCTTCTTCACACCACAGAATGCATTTTCATTGCTAAAATAATACAAAGAGAGGCTGAAGAGACAAGCTTTTGAAGAAATAATTGTCTTGAAAACATTCAGGTTTTGCAGGGAGACATTCTATCAATTACTGCAATAACTTCAGAAGCTGGTGTTATTAATTTCTAATTCAAATTCTAATGAACATGGGGAAACCAATTATCTTTATATACTGGATATGCCTTTGTCTCCAATTAGGAGTGTGCAATCCATCCCAGGCTTTCTTCATTGTCAAAATATTTCCAAATCCTGTCAAGAGCATGTGCATGGAGGTACTTTGAAGAAGAGCACTGCCATTAAAAAAAGCACATCATGTAATTATTTCATGCTACTAAGACACACCTCTAACACCACATGCCAGAACTCTATTCACCTTCTCTTTCTGATATAAGAACTATGTATATGAAACTTTAGTAACAGTAAGACTGACATACCCTTTCCTCTCTATAACATCATGGGGGAAAGCATAACCCTTCCTCAGGAGAAAAAACAACTCCTTTTCTTCCCTAAAATCCACTTCTCTTTCTCTCCTCATACACAGAGTAAATTTACTTTGTTGTTTTCAGGATGTCCAAGTGGCAGATGAAATGGAGCCATATACATTGGTGATACTGTGATGATATACAGTGTGACTGCATGCTCTGCCTGACAGGTTCAAAGACAAGTCAGTGTATGCCTCACAACTTTCTCTTACCTGTTGAATTTTGTACTTTTGCATGTATGGTATAAACTGAAAGATAAATCCAGGTACACAGAGCAAAAAGTATGAAACTTCATGAACTAGAAGTGATCCCCAGGTTGCAATCTGGAACTTTGTGTAGTTATCCAGCATGTAATTCCAGGCATTTTTAAATGGTTGCTGCAGGGGATTGTCAGGTAAGAAGGAGTCTATATATTCCACTGCCAGATAAGCAGAGTTCAAGATATTAACGCTGTCATTCATGGCCATGGTTCAATCTTAAAACATCACAATTAAGCTCTTCTGTAGTTGTCTGTAAGTAACCTGCAAATTTTGAGAAAAATACAATAAATAGAAGTTAATCTTCAGAGAAAAAAAAAAAAACAAAACATTACATGATAGTAATTACCTAGTCTTAAAGTAAAAGCTGAGAAAGGACAGGAAAGACAGATTCTCTTCATACAGAACAGCCTGAAAGAACAAACCTTTAGATTGGTTTGAGAGGCAAGCCAATTTGAAAGGCAATCAGCTCCTAGGTTTTGAGATTATGTCAAGGGAGCAAAAGGATAAGGAAATATTAATTACTAGCCAAATTTTTATTTCAATGCTTTTGCAGGATAATTGTAGTCTGTACTAAAAGAGCAACGGGAAGGTTAAAAAAATATTTAGTATTAATTTTTAATTAGCTGCGATCTCTTGATTATCTAGTCCCGTTTTTCTCATGGCTGTGAACCAAAATCCCTGCAAATTACATCAACACTCCAGCTGGCTTGAGGCAACCCACCTTTCCCTCAGTAATGGACTTTTCCTCACAGCTCCCAAAACCACAGAAGCTGCATTTCTGCAGGTGCCCTGAACTCATGCCATTTCCACAGAGTAGGCTCCTTGCTGGTTTGGCTTGGAAGGGACCTTTAAACATCATTTACAGTCCAACCCTCCTGGGATGGGCAGGGACATTTTTCAAGACATCAAATGGCTCAAAGCACCATCCCACCCGGCCTTCAAACACTTCCAGGGATAGGGCATACAGAACTTTTCTGCTCAACCTGTTCCAGTGTCTCAGCACTCTCATTGTAAAAAATATCACTCTTATGCCAAATCTAAACCTAGCCATTTTTAGTTTAACAACACTGCCCTGTGCTTTGTCATTGCAAGCCTTAGCAGAAAGCCCCCTTGATGTACCACAGGATGGTATCCCTTGAACCTTCTCTTCTCCAGGCTGCACAACCCCAACTCTTGCAGCCTCTCCCCACTGATGGTGTGTCCTCTGACTGCTTCCAGTGCCCTCCTCTGGACCCCTTTATGCTCCATCCTCCACTCTCACACAGGTTGGTAACTCACAGGCCAGAGGACACTGCTCCATCCCCAGCTGGTACGCTTAGGCTAAATCCACAGAATCACAAGGCTGGAAGAGACCTTCAATATCATCGAGTCCAACCCGCTCCCCAACACCTCAACTAAACCATGGCACCGAGTGCCACATCCAGTCTTTTTTTAAACACACCCAGGGATGGTGACTCCACCACCTCCCCAGGCAGACCACTCCAGTACTTTATCACCCTTTCCATGAAAAACTTTTTCTTAATACCTAACCTTTATTTCCCTTGACGCAGCTTGAGACTGTGACCTCTCATCCTGTCAGTTGCTGCCTGGAGAAAGAGACCGGCCCCACCTGACTGGGACTGCCCTTCAGGAAGTTGTGGAGAGCGATAAGGTCGCCTCTGAGTCTCCTTTTCTCCAGGCTAAACACCCCCAGCTTCCTCAATCGTTCCTCAACACGTTCCTCAATCCGACACAAATCAGATAGCTGCAGGTTGAAAAACAGCTCTGAGATCCCATAACCAGGACCCACGTGTAACCCCTGACCCACCGCCCCCCTACCCAGCAGAGCACGGCACCAAGTGCCACATCCAGCCTTTCCTTTAGCACCTCTGGGGAGGGTGACTCCATCACCTCCCTGGGCAGCCCATTCCAGCGTGTCATTAACTCGCACGTACTAACCAGCACACCAGGCCACTATCCAACAACATCAGTTATCGTTTTCCTTCCTTAGCAACAGCATCGCGATGCTGCCACTTCTTACTGACAGCAAAAGCATCGCAGCAGGCAGCGCACAGCCCGAGCTCCCGGGCGGACGGACGCGCAAAGCAACTTAACCACGGCCGCCACCCCCGAGCACGCCGCCGGAAAGCCGAGGAGCCAGCGGCCGGGCTGCACCCGGGCTCCACCGTCCGGACACGTACCGGCACACGCCACCCACGCGCGGGGAACGCCGAGGAGAGACGGGGTCCCTCGGGGAGCCCGCACCCCGGCACCCGCAGCCCCACACCGGACCCCGCCCGCCCCGACCCCTCACCTGTCGGCGGCAGCAGCGGCGGCTCCGAGTGCGCAACAACACCCTCCGGGCCGCCCGCGCCACCGCGCGCCGCCTATTGGCCGCCGCTGCGGCCCCGCCCCCGCTACCCCATTGGCCGGCGGGCGGCAGCGGCGCAGGGTCAGGCGGGCGGGGGGCGGGGCCGCGGCGACGGCTCCCGCGCGGCCATTGGCTGGAGGGGTGGAGTGAGGATAGTGAGACTCCGGCGCGTGGCCAATGGGAAGGGAGGACAGCAGGTGACGCGCACGACGCCATGGGGCGAGGCCCGTCTGGGCGCGGCTGCGGGAGCGGCTCCGTGCCGCGGCCGGGACCATGACTGGGACCGGCACCGGCACCGGGACCCGCCGCCCGTCTGCAGGAGCACCGCGGCTTCGGACGGACACGGTGTCACCCCTGCGGGTGCCTGCGCCCGCTCCTCGTTCCGCGGTAATGAAAAGATGGAAGTGCACAGGCGGCGGTGTTGTCATGGCAGCAGCGGCCCCCGGCGCGTTCCCGGGTTGTGTCATGCGGGTGAAAGTGTACAATTCCGATACAAGGTGCCCTGGGTGAACGTTTGCAATGCCGATACAAGGTGCCCTGGGTGAAAGTGTACAATGCCGACACAGGGTTCCCTGGGTGAACGCGTACAATGCCGATACAAGGTGCCCGTTCACAGCCCCCGCCTCGCCCCAGCGGTGTGGAATTGGGGCACTCCGTGACTCCCAGCCCTGGCACCTGCAGTGTCACAGCTCGGACGTGTCAGGGAAGCCAGCGGTGGCCATTCGTGCACTCATGGACAACTACAGCTTCCAGAAACTGACCTGCGGCATACAGCGATGTTCACATGACTGGCTCCTAAACCTCAATAACTCCCAGTTCGGTGGCATTCAGACCTTTGGAGCTCCAGCTTCTCCCCGCTCCTTCTCCCCTGCCCCAGTCCCCCAGTTTATTTCACTGATTATTTGGTTTGAGACTTGTATTGAGAAACACAAGTTTTAAGCGACCTGTTGGCATTAGGAAACAATGTACAAACTTTTATTTGAAGAAAATGTCTCAAATATGACAGTAGCTTTGGTCATGTTAAAAGGAGGCCATCCAAGAACAAATAAAAATGTGCTGCTGTATAAGCATGGCCATATACAGTGTATTCAGATATTGGCTAATAGAAGCTGAGATTACACGCATAAATAGGCCTTTGTACCATGCAAGTTCAACGCAATTGCATACATTCACTATAAATTTTCAGTTATTTTCATGCCAAATCACCTTTTGGATAAAAAGGTAAAAAAGAAGTAACATCTAAACGTGACCAAAATTGAACAGGAAAAAAAAACCTTGTAAGTACAGACAACATTTTTATTAAAAAGATACTGAAATTACACCTGCTCAAGAAGTGTCAAACCATCTCTGATCTCCTTCAGCGGGAATTAGTGTTAAGCATTGTTACATATCAAAAAATACATCTCTGTTTTACAACATAGTACTGACATATTCAAAGTACTGTGCCAAATTATAAATAGTAAAATCAGGTTTTGAAGAGTTTCAATAGAGAGCAACTTATGCTCACACAAACATATGCACGTAGTATAGTTACGTAACAAAAGTTTTATAAAAGGAAGCAAATGTACCCCATGCCAGTTTGAATTACTGAGGTGGGATTCAGTACCTACAATGAAGACTGACAGTTCATTTCCTTAAATATATTTATTAGTCTCTGGAAAAAATAAGACAAAAATTTACTTTCACCAGAATACACACCATTCTTCACTCACAATCCGTTTCTCAGTCATGACTGACAGAAGCCGGTCCTTAGGAAAGTGTTGGGATTTTTCTGAAGACCTTGCAATACAAAAATTGGTCTACCAGACTTCAAAAGTTCAATCAGCTTCTGCTCAACTGCAGAATAATCCTACAAATTGCTTCTACCTAGAGTAATCTTCATCGTCTGTCATCTGTAATTGTAGACAGTCACATCTTCCACTGTGACTCAAGGTGCAGCTACAAGTAGAGAAGTGCTTAGATACTCAGTCACTTCAAATACACTTGTTGAAGACTGCTTCTAGTGCATAATCAAGTTGAAAATCCTTTTACTGATCATAATGGTTTGTCAATAACTGTAACACCTAGGGGGAGGGAGAGAAAAAGGGATAAGTCTTTAGGCAGTATTGTTTTTGAAATCAAGAAAAAAATTAATATGATACATTGCAAACAGCATTTAATTGTGCACCAGCAACAATGCACATATTTTTCCCTAATTTCTCTTTGACACAAAGCTGTCTGAATCAGTGCCAAGCTATGAAAGTTTCTGTGACTAATCAAATTTAATTTTGCTATCAGTGAAATACATCCTTAACATTCACTTAAATAACTCATTTGAAAAACTGCAGTTTTTGAAGCAAAAGATTCCTGAAACAGCTCATTTTCTAAATATCAAATCCCAAAGAACTTTGGAATTGGGATTCCCAATTATGTGCCTTAGATTGAGACACATATTTCTTGTTAAAAAAACTGGTCATACCAGAATCATCTTTCTGACTCACCATGTATGTGCTAAATCATTCTTGATTACGCTTTAATCCCTTTCTTTTCCTTGTAGTGAGTAATTATTTGAAGTCATCATTCAAAATATACCATCAGATTCCTCCTACCCATTTTATTATCTTAGATTCTACCTTAGACAAGACTCTGTTTGGATGCTTTGTCAAATGTTACACTTTAAAAAGTGTATTAACAATATCTATATGGCTTACCTGCATAGCTCCTCCCTGTACTCATACAAGATGACACAACTGTCCATTTATCAGTTGTTGGATTATAATACTCCACTGTTGATAAATTACAGGAACCGTCATCTCCTCCAACCACATATAAGAGACCATTTACAGCACAAACACCTGAAAAAGGGCAGGAAACCAGAATGAAAATTAGTAATTGACTTCCACACCCCCCCCAAAAGCATGTTTTTTTATGAAAGCAGCAGAAATCCAGGTACATGCCATCCATAATTGACATTGGCACTATTTTAGTCATTGTTGCACATACCTGCATTCCTTCTGCACATGTTCATGTCTGCAACCTGCTTCCAGGTACTGGCAATGGGGTCAAACACTTCCACACTTTTTCTTACCAAAGGACCATCATGACCACCTACTGCATACAATAAATTGTTTAACACACCAACACCTGCAAACATATGAAAATATGCAGAATTAACCAGAGAATTATTTGAACGATACAAAGGAGAAACAACAAATATGTCAGCTAACATAAATCCTCCGTTAAGTCAATGTTGGAAACTATTTCAGAAAACATTTGGGTCAGGATGCATTAAAGCAGAGAGACAGTAACTACAGCAAGACACTGATAAAATGCCTTGCATGCCCATCTACCATATTGCAGCATACAAAGACCAGAGCTGTTCTGCAACAGAAGATTTAGAAAATTTTGGACGAAAAATGACGTGCAGGAAAATGAGGCTTGTTGAAATTTAGGACTAATTAGAAGTGACAGTAAATGAGACAATGTGCTCAGCCAGCATAACAGAAATCTGACAGGATGATAAAGTGTAAGTGAACTTTTAGAAAGTAAAAGCTGTGCAGTACAGAGGATAAAAGCTGAATGGATAGACATTATACAATAGGGATGTTTCCACTGAAGTGTTGGAATACCTTGTAAACAGATGGAACAGAATTAAACAGTTAGCAGTGAGTACCTTCTCTGGGACTTGAAGAACACCAAGCTTCTTTGAACCAAGCTTCAGTTATCAAAATATCCAAAAGGATATTAAAGGGTGTCCTTTAATCCTAAGGTCTCCTTTACTTTACAACAAAAGTTTATCAATCTGTGAGCTTGGAATGAAGGCGTGAATAAAGCTACATCTATCTACTTGCTACTTGGGTTGCACATATTGAAAAGATGGAAATGGGGGAAGCAGAAAGAAAGGCCTGCTTATTTATTACTTCCTTTATAATGCATTATTAGAGCCAAAACAATAAATTTCAGAAACATAGGGGTTTTTTTGCATTAAAACTTCTGAGTGATGGACCATAAAGACAACTAAAAAAGCACTTCTATGAAAGTATACCAGGAAATCTAATAAATGCCACATTTAAGACTATGAAACTTAAAGCAGAGATACAGATTTGCAAATATAGCTCATAAAGTATTCAATGGAACCATTTAAAAAATTTTTAAGGGGAAACAACAAATATGAATGCAAAAAATCAGGTAAGTCCCTCAAAGAAAAAAAAATGGAAGTAGAAAAAAAAAGTAGAAAAAAAGAAGAGAACCCCAAGACCTTAATAACGAGCTGAAATATCTTTAAAAACATATCACTAATTTTGTGTTTAAGAGCCATTTCTATATGTGAAGAGAAACGACTCCTGCTGAAATGACTAAATTTTCTTATTAGAGACTGATTTTAAGAACTGAAAGAAGAGAGGAAGGAAACATGGAAGCTAATTGGTACCGTAAATCTGAAAAATAGCTTCTTGATAGGACACTCTTTTAAATCATGCTATTTAGGGCTTTACCAGTGATATTCACTACTAGCATTTCCCCATATCCTTCCCAGTTAATTGAATTCCTCTTTTATTACTATTATTTCTAGCTATCATGCCACAGTATAGTATGACAACTTTTCTTTCTCCCACTATGATCACACTTTATTAGAAAGGAAAGTACAACATTCATCTTTTGTAGAATTAAACATTACAGAAGGAGGGCTAATATTTTCAGTTTAAATATGGGATGTGACATAAATCCCCCCACCCATGCCTTCAATAGTTACTGGCCTTCCTATTCAGTGTGTAGAGCTTTCCCTCTGCCACATTGCCACTTTTTTCTTTCATAGCTCCTTATTTTTAATAATATCCTCCCTTCCTCCATGGTGCTTCATTTTCCCTTAATCCCACACCCAGTTTCCAGGTCCTACCTTATTTCTTGCTCCTTCCGTCTGTATCCTCTTGTTGCCGTCTTCTGAGTTCTCCTTTCTTTGTTATTTTTCTTTCCTGCCCATTTTTCAGGACCCTGTCTTATATCTCTCAGCCCTCCCAAATGGCCTATATCTGGATCTGAAGTTCCTCCTCCCAATAT